TTTTCAATTGTCTATTTTCAAACTATAGTTAGGCATCAAGGGTCACCCAGTGCATCTGACGTCAAAGCTGTTACGACTACACACTGCACACTAGATATCTACTATCTACTACTGCACAGTCACTGTACAGTGTACAGTAGTCAGTAGGCCTATGGTGACTTGGTCGAAAGAATCTATTAATAAAACAATAACAAATCATTAAGAGAGGGCGTAGCGAGAGTTTGTGTCATTAAAATGTTTCAACTAATAACTTCGTGGGCCTCTTTTTTTTACGTTTGTTAAGTAACAACACACAGAATGCAGGCAATTGTTGCGAAGAGTTATCTGGCGCAAAAAGAAGGAATCTCTCCCAATTTAAAGGGAATTGGACACTATAAAATGGAATGTTTAAACAGAATATGGAGTTTGATAAATCTGACAGTTCTACTATACGAAGAATGTAATACGATTTATCGCTGAGAGTGACATGGGCTTTACATATTGACCCTTCCCTTTGACCGACAACTGGGTATAACACACCCGCACGTGTATTATACAGTGGGTTCCAAAAGAAACTTCATAAAGTAATCACCCAGTAATCGGGTTAAAGCCTTGCACTACCCACTCCTATAGCATACCAATTTAAAGCTAAATAAATTCTGCATCATCTGTCTGACACAATGATATTTCATTTATGTTAAGAGATGCTCGAGATAATACTATGGTCACTCAAAATTGACCTTAAACAATCAGGCTTGGCAAACTTGTGCGAAATCACAGAAACGTTGTCTTTGCGCGTATATTGGAGACCATCAATATTGATAGAATGGACATAGGCTACATTGCATATTCAATGAATGGAGAATTTGTTTCTCTGCAATAAACAATATATAAATGTCGATAGTTTCAATTTTAAACTTAACAGAAAACAGAGCAATCACAAATATCACAAAACGGATTTAACATGTATTCATTGTTATTTTGCGTAGGAGCCATTGGTTTTGTGTAGTGCACGAACCCATTGGGCATCGACTCTGCTAAATTGAGGACAATTGTCAGTCATTTCATCCCAGATGTCACAGACGGTTGCAAACGAAGGGTCTGAATTGGGAGCAACGTCAGTTTTCTTCAGCTGCTATTTCATGGGATTTCACATACCTGTAGGATTCATATCGGGCTATTTACTGGTGACTACTCCAACGTTGATATGATATAATTTTTCCAAGAATTGTCCCGTGATAATATTGGCCCAATGAGAAAGTGATTTGCCAGGAATGAAGATGTCTACTTGAGGGAAATAAGGGTGAGACATGACATTCCAACACTTGCGCGATGTAGTCAACTAAAGTAAGCCATCCGAAGGTTAGTGCTCTACAAGAAGACCAATAGCTCCTAAACCAAAAATAAATCATAATGATGAGCATATGCAATGTTAATTCTTAGTTCAGGATGGTGTTTGTAAGTAATCTGTTTTCCAACTTGTTTGAAAATGTATTTCAGAACATGCCTCTCATTGCAGAGACAATATTATTTCCTTTTTATTTGATATTCAATACATTCCATTCTACCAACGTTGATGAATCTCAATACACGCACGAACACACTTTTACGTTTCTTTGATTTCGCCCAATTTTGCCTAGTCTGAGTTTTTTTATGTCAATTTTAAGTGACCATATTTCGAGAATCTCTTTACATAAGTGAAATACTATTGTGTCAGATGAAGCAGGATGTATTAAGCTTTAAATTGGCATGCTGCATGAGTGGGTGGTGCAAGGCTTTAACACGATGATTGGGTGATTACATTTTCAAGTTTCTTTTGGACGCCACTGTACAGTAAAACATGTACTCAACTTACATCTGGTGACTGGGTGTAAGAAATTCAACTCTTCTTTGTTAGTTGAGCTCATATTTACTCAAAAAGCTGCGTAACGCTCAGCCTTTCCCGTTGGCACGCACTCCAAGCAAAAACATTGTGAAACTCTCCCCCTCCACCCTCCAAAAAAAATATTTTAAAAATCGCACTCCATTTACTCATCATTATCTGTCACCAACGACAGATGCTTTTCTCCTATGCTCATTGAGAAAACCATAGATACTGCCATTTGTGGTTGATTCTACAAAGGAGGAAGCATTATTTGGCCTTATATTCTGGGTCACTGTTACCCTGTTAAAAGTAAACACATTGTCACGATTTATCTATGCATCATGCTCAGGATAATAGCGTTGTTCTGACGTTTGATTCTCTTTTCTTCTTCTTCTTCTTCTTCTTCTTCTTCTTCTTCTTCTTCTTCTTCTTCTTTTCTTCTTTTTCTTCTTCTTCTAGATCTTAGGGGAAGTCGACTGCTGGTTCTTCAACCTGCAGTACAATTGATTTTTACGTATGTGACCACTTTTCATACTTCGTAGGGCCCCTTGCTTTCAGGCAGCCACATTCAGATTTCGAAATTTATCACTTTATACTGACTAGAGTATTGTCAGGTTTTGGTATGAATTAATTTTGAATTTTGCCTTGGTGGCGGCCGAAGCCTACTCTTATTGAGTTTAGAACCACCAAGAGAGCTTAAAGTGCACAGCTTGCACATGGGACCTCCGAGATTGTTTTTACCTTTCGAGAAAGCCAAATGTTCGGTCACTGCTACCCTAAGATCAGGGATGTGTGGCTGAAAAACAGTAGTAAGAAGGAGCAAGGAGAAGCAGTACTAGTAGAAATAGTCAGGAGCAAAGTAGAGAGTAGCCCACAGGCCGGGGGTGGGCCGGGTTAAAGCGAGAAAGTGGAGATGAAAGCAGACGACAGAACATGTCTAGAGAAAAGGAAAGGAGGTGAAAAGAGAACATTTTAGAGAAAAAAAATTAATGTTTCCGTCGCAGTCAGGTTTCGCACCTGGAACCTATTGAATGTAAAGCGAACGCGTACCTCTAGACCTCGAGAGCCCCGTGTGTTTGGTTCTGATTGTTCTGTTTTTTAATGATCTTCCAGGGATCTTTTTGAAACCGATACACAATACACACATGTACATGACATTGTATTTCTATGTTCTGTGAAATGATCCCAAGTAGAAATTCGTGAGCCAGGGTGTTTTTATTTGTTTGGTTGTTTTTTTGTTTCTGTTTCTGTTTTCTTTTTTTTTCTCTCCATTTCTACACTACTGATACACACACGTACATGTATGTTTCATAAAACGTTATTTATCCATGTGCGTGTTTGTTTATTTGTTTGTTAGGTGTTTTTGTTTTCATCTTATTTTTGCTTTAATGATACAAACACGTACATCTGTGCTTCATAAATTAATGACTCCCTTTAAAATTCGTATCGTGTGCGTGTTTGTTTGTTTATTTGTCAGTTTGTTTGGTGATTTTTTTTTCATTGTATTTGTACTTTGTTGATTCACACACCTATATGTATGTCTAATCAAATAAAACCAATTATAAATTTATGTGATTGTCAGTGTGTGTGTTTGTGTGTGTGTGTGTGTGTGTGTGTGTGTGTGTGTGTGTGTGTGTGTGTGTGTGATCATATGAGTAAGGGTATGATCGTGTAGGAGTATGATAAACCAATCATGGAGAAACAATACCAAATCGAAAAACAAAGATGAAACGGAGAATTGCCATCTCTGCATCTAAACTGAAAAATGATGACATCCACCTGAAGAGGGCAATGAAAAGAGAGAAAAACAAAAGTTCAAACTTTAAGAAACATTCTGGAGACTGTTTCAAACTTGCTACTGAGCTGACAGCATTTTAAAAGAATTTTTTCTTTAAAATTCTCCCTGCGACATCTCCGTATTGCTTTACGCTGTGATCAACTTCTCTCTTTTTTTGTTCCTCCTAAGGAACAGATTGGCGGGAGATTTGACTGAGCTCTAGTTAAGCTTACTGCAAATCGAGACGAAATGTAAAATGTTTGGTCTAATTGCATTCGAAACTGTAGGCGATTACACCAAGTTCAACTGTAACAAAGAAATATAGTAAAATACTAGTCGCTGTTCCCCGGCCGCTGTTCCCCGGTAAAATGACGTCATGAGTCGCTGTTCCCCGGCGCAGCCGAAATTTCTTTTTTGCACTTTTGGATTAATTAATAAAATGTGTGTCAAAGAAGGCATAATTTGATTTTCTGGTTTTTATTTTGATCGCACTTTTGTAAGTGGTCCTTAACTGTTTGTGAAGACTGTAATAAAAATAATTATACATGGCATTTATATAGCACATTTCAATTATCTAATTGTTCTTAAGCTCACTTGTTAGAAAGGTTTTCTTCAAAAGCTGTTGATTGGCTAGAATTAGAATGTAAATAATAGACAATTATTATAGATGGTATTTGTATAGCACATACCATGCTCGATTCATACAAAGTTCGTCATTAAAGAGTTAACGTAGTCTCTGGAATAGCCTGGACCTAGATAAGAAAATGTCGGTCAAAATCACAGTTCTAAATGTTGTCTGGTGAGGGAGAAGGGAGGGATAGGAGCGGGAGGGGTCTGGAAAGAGGACGGTAAAGAAATGTCGTGCTAAGTTTAAAAACGTATCCGTGCTTGAGCTGTTTACGCGCTGTGCTCTTCGAGTTAATTAATATACTTATCAAACCTATCAAACCTACCAGAAAGCGTCCGAGTAAATCAGCAAAGATTATATCTATTGGTGGGTTTTTTATTTTTTCGTGGATTGTGCCATAGTCGTAGCCTTAGCCTCGTCATGAAAGACGAGGTGGTCGCTTCCAAGTGTATGAAATTAATCGAGTTGAATTTTTCTAAGACGGACACATATAGCCGATGAGATAAGTTGGTCTTCTCAGACAGGTGACCGTCTTAAACAGTGTCAAAATAGTGTTCAAAAATACTTAAGGGAAGAAATGGGACTTTGCCGTTCTAACAGATGATTATTCTACAAAATTGGCCATTAGAGCAGGTTTGAGCGAATGTCAAATGTATCAAACACAGTTAATGGAGATTTGGGGTAACATTTCGGCATTGTGCATCTGGTATAATGAGTGCTCCATAAGAGAGGTCAACATCTGATTCTGCAGTTTTAACACAGATTTTGTCGTGACTCGAAGCTCCGTAAAGATAACGCTTGGGCGTTAGGCGGGTGTTCCGGTGTGGTTTGCTCCTTCTTCCCTATCAAACTTCTCCTAGTGTTGCAAGTAATATATAACAAAACTCTTTCTAGAACTAAACTTTCGTAAAAGAATTGCAAAAAAAAAAATCCCTAACAAAGATAAGGATGGAAACATAAAATGTCCACTGCCACCAGCCCAGACATAGGCTAGATACCCCTGGAGCAAGGAGGGCCACACAGAAGAATGTATCGGTATCTGTTGCTAGCACTGGTCATCTGGACTGACCAGCCCGGGAGCCAGGCTTACTTCAGTGAAGAGCTGGTGAGTCTTTGGGTTTTATGTGTGCGTATGTGCGTGTTTGTGAGTGTGTACGAGTGTGTGTGTGTGTGTTTGTGTGTGTCTGTGTGTGTGTGTGTGTGTGTGTGTGTGTGTGTGTGTGTGT